TGGTTCTGAACAGTTAAAACACCGGTCCATGTACTGCAATGTTACAGCAAGGTGTACAGTACAACAGATTTTCACTGAACGTTGTTACAAAGAGACTGGGCCTTCTGGATAATTCAAATTTGTTTATTTTTAGGCTTAAAACTACACTGTAGCCCCTTTCATTACTTTCGTCCAGGAGGAAGAATCAGAATCTGTATTTATGCTGGAGGAATCCGATGAGCTAGAAAGCTTTTTTTTTGCACAGACGTCCAGAAACTAACAAAGGCTTGAGTTTAATATTTCTCATAAATACTGGAATAACAAATAATGGCTTTTCACTTATCCAGGAAATGCCTCACTTTAATTCCCAAGACTATTTTCGACAGGGTCCTGCTTTAGGATATCTGGTGAGTTCCATAACTGAGTGTTAGGCATAGAGAATGGATATTGCACAAGTGTCTTGAGTACATTGTTGTACTGTGCAAGGTTGATATGGAGATTTATAAATGCACACTGTAGTAGCTTGTACACAGTGTAAATATAAACATGTTATCTGTAATTGGCAAGCTAGTGCTTACAAACGTTAACCAATCGTGCATTTCCCATCACAGTACTGCTATTAAGTAATTTGTGCACCACGCTAAAACTAAGCCCAACTTTTTATTTTACCAGGTCAGACCCACTGAGCTACCTGGCGACAAGTGATAGCTCAACGAAGTGATTCTAAATGTGAAGGGAAAAATCAGAGGACCCGGAGAAAATCCACGCGAAACACGGGGAGAGAGACACGCAGACTCCAAATACACAGCAGGCGTCAGGGTCTGGATCGAAGCCACGGCCTCCTCCATACCAGGCGAGGTAGTCAACGTCTCGCCACTGCGCTGTGGGCCCGATGAGCAGACTTCGATTCCAGGCCACAGCTAACATCAGTGGCAATTGATATCTGATCCAGTATGGTGAAGTATGGCCAAACAACACCCTATAACCGACACGGCATACGGAGGCCTTCATCCAGAAGTGGACGTAGTAAATTATCATTATTGTTAAGAGTGCCGCGTGATACACGTGTATCGTCGTGTGTATGTGTAACACCAGACTATGATGCAGTTATCAGGTCTCCTACTCTAGTCTGTTGACTGCTGATAACACAAGGCACTTTGTACTTGTGGTTTTACAAGGACACAGGCCTTGCTTTACACTGCAGCACTCACTGTATTACCCTCGCAATGGCGAATTATGGGTAGGAACTTTAACATATAATGGAGTACTAGAGCAACGGTTATGACTTTTAAAACACACATGGACATCCCGTTGAACCTAATAGCAATAAACCTGGAATCAATTCCAGTTGTAATTTTGTAATTCATAATGAATTGCAATCACAACGTAATTGTTATTGCAATTTCAACTAACAATTCTGCCGCAAGTGTTTTTTTAAATGACTCCAGGTCTGGTTAGTAAGCACCTATTCAGGCTGGCACGGCACACGGTGGGGGTGGGGTGGTGTGGTGTGGCCAGCTCCTGGCCTGGTTACTTCTGCCTCCTCCAGTGCTAATGTTTACACAAGGCACGAGGTGGCCAGAGTTGACCTGGGGGTGGGGGAGACTCAGGATAAATTCTCATTCCAGTTGCCACTGATGTTAAGCCTTGGTTGGATCAATGCAGAGAATAGTTAAGTACTGACACACGCATTACCGTATTGAAAATGGTGATGGCATCGCCTGACAATGCTGCCGAGGATGAGCGAGGGGTTTATGGCAAGGGGTTGATGGCAATAGGGAACAACCTCAACCACCCTAGACGTTTTGGGCAATGGTCCATTTTTTGTAGCAACTAAGAGGGCCCCCTCTACCTCTCTGGTCCATCTACAGGGTGGTCTCCATGAAACAAATTTAATTCTCTACAACTTAATACAAAATGTGTATACCAATGAGGGGGGGGGGGGGTGTGAGAACAGAAATGAATAAGCAGGGAGACTGAAACAAATGTTCGGTGTCAATTAATTGGGGGTCTCAAGACCACCCTGTACATACGTGATAATTATTTTATATAGCGTCAGTCATGCTAATTGCACCCCGCTACGCTGTAGATTAATTATATATAAGGACAATTCTATATATAGCAACTATCAAGCAAATTAAAAACCCTAATAAGGATCATTCCCCAAAACATCGCCAACAATATATAGTTTTTTTATTTTAAGGCCACAGTATTATTGACGAATGTGTCGATTTTTTGTGTCTGTTACTCATGCATCACTGGCAGCGGCAGTGTCAGCAAATAATTTCCCCCAAGCTGTGACTTTGGGACCTCGTCTGGAGTGAGAATTAAAGAGGTTGGAGGGGGAACTTAAGCCATGGGACCAAACCCCATTGGCCAGAGAACTTGAAAATAAATATTGCCAAGGGTTTTTTTTAATCAGAATTAATCGTCTATAAAGAAAGCCTCGTAAAAGGTCATGAATTATAATACAAAATATTTGTGCAGGATAGAATGATAAATGGGTATGCAATAGGACTCGACAGTAAATGCATATTCAGTACTAATCATATTTAGTGCACAGCCAATAATATAAATGCGGGATTTTTGTAGAACAAATATTTTCTTAAATGTGCATTACCTGCTGCGACATATGGCGCAGAAACAGACAACTGGTGGAGCGCATGGAATAAAAGTTCTAAAAGCGCACGACGAAGCATGGGAAGATAGCCAGCCGCATGCCTGCGATTTAGACCCGAGACGGAACGAGGATTAAAGAACACACGAAGCACATGGTGAAGACGTAATTTTGACTTGAGAAAAGTAAGTGGGCTTCGGCAGGAGACGTGATCGTGAGAAGGCCGTGGGGATGACAGGAGATTCTGAGTGGTGTGTGTCTGGCAAGCCGCCCTAGCTGTAACTGTTCGGTGTATTAACCAGATACAAGTTCCGTGTTCTTCACAGCAGACGTTGCAGATGAATAGACTTTCATTCGAAACGAGTATGCAAGTATGTTGAACTTCTTTCGCACCGTACGTAGCCAACCGCGCTGATCGGACGTGCGGGGAAAAGGACAATAAACTAAACACAAAAGCAGTTCTAAATAAATTAGTTTTTTTTTAAATATAGATGATTTTGAAATGCAAAGCTCCAGTGGCTACCTAATATCGGAAGGAAGAGCGTTCCAGTCGGCCGCAGAAGCGCATCTGAAAGCACGCGATGCAGTGGCCGTCTTTGTTCCAGCGCAAATAAACAAAATATACAGTATATTACCTGCAAATTCCTCAATTTTAAATTACAAACAGCAATAACCTTTGCCCCCCTTCTGCCGACAGAATAATAGCTCATTGCAGGCCGGCGCTGATCTATCACGTTGTGCCACCGCAAAGGGACAGCAGCTACTGGGGGTGACCTTCAAATGTTTGAGATGAGATGAAAGGCACTTTGAGTTGCCGAGGCATTTAAGAAAATGCCATAAATGCAAATATTATTTTCCACAGTGGAGAAGGAGCAATTAGATCGGCTTGTGTGGAGGTGCTGGGTGGATTATTTTACAATCTCAGGCTGACAACGCATTGGAGAGACCTGGCTGATGATGATGATGATGCATACATTGCTATATTATGAATGCAAACTTATTGTTATGATTTGAATGACAATGCAATTAACGTTTGGCGTATTCGAAGTACGGGCACTTCCCTTTTGTCAGACTTTAATATTTGTTCTTACAGTTGCAAATGTACACACACAACACTCACTGTGCATATTTGCATTGCCAGTATTTTATGACAAGTCCTATTTAAGGGGCACAGTATAACCGAGCAGTATGTCGTGTGTCCATGTGCGTTAACCACCCTTTTGTCAATCCACTGCTGAGAGAGGGGACCTCCCCACGCCGTGTCGGTCACGGGGGTCTGTTAGACCACGCTGGTCAGTGCGGGCTTGGTGAAGCCCGGTAACATTCGAGTGCAGGACAACGATGACTTTTACTGTATTTGGACACTGTTGCCCACCACGTGACTCAGCACCCATCCAGGCTCTACTCAGCATTCCGGGCGATCTGGTCATAGGCAGTCTATCGTATACACTGTTCGGTCACCTAACATTACCCCGATTAGCACAGTTGGCTATGTGCGGTGCGAAACATACATTCAAATAAAAAAAGTTTAAAATTCTGCATGTTGGTTCGTTATTCAAGGGGAAGGTAATCTTTACACTTGCACAACAAGTTCGAAAAAAAAAACCACACCACATAATGGAAATGTGTGCCAGTTACGTGATAGATAGTTGTACACAGCACCAGAGTAATTCCATGACCATACACAATGACACAATGTAACAACCACGTTGAGACACGCAGGGCAACTTTGGCCACCTTGAATAGGCGACGGCCCGGAAACACTTCCTTAATCAATGACACCACTATAATTTCAGCCCATCATTCACCTCGGGTCGATAAGAAGAATGTTTTCAGCATCATTTAGAACAACAATATAATGCTTCTCTTACGAACGAGACTCGTCATCGGAATGTGGAATTTCCCACAGTTATAGGAGCCACGGGCAGAGACGAACATCATCCCAAATTCAGCCAGTTTTAGCATGAAGGAGGCAACTTTTAAACCAGTTGGGGGAAAAAAACCATGCACATGCATGAATATAATACCCTGGAGGACTCGGAGAAAAATCCACAACCACGGGGAGACGATGCAAACTCCAAATATACACCAGGCGTCAGGGTCGGGTTTGGAACCCATGGGCTTCTGTATATCAGGCAATGTAGTTAACATCTCGCCACCGCATATATTTACAAGTCGCACCAACGTTTTCAACCTAAACCGGCGAGCGTAAAAAAATCCCTGATTATGTAAAGCAGACTCTGGGGTCCAACACAATTACATCAGCATCGTTAGTTGAAAGTACAATTGACGTTGAGATGACACATCCATTACGAATTACACGATTACAATTGTCTTTACAGCATTTACCTCGTGGTCTGATGTAACAACAAGCAAAAAAAAACATTCAATTGAAGAGACTCACCTTGTTGAAAGCCTTCTTGTACCTGGTCACGGCCTGTCGGATGAGATCTTTGACCAGGATGTGGCCATCCCCACATGGCACCAGCACACTGGTACCCTTGAAGTACACGATCACTTTCATCTCCCCGTGCCTTCCGAGACACTCAGAACTCAATGATGATCCGTTGTCTGAATATTGGGTTTGCTTCCTCCTCTTTGAGCAGTTCCAATCAGCGAACTCTCCAATAACGTTGCATCGTAGCGTTCCAAGCCGAGCCTTATAACTTTGTAACAATAAGTCAGCGTCGGGTCAAAGGTTCCAACAAATGAGCAACATCACGTTACAAGCCGAGCTTACGACCAACTCGGTTCCAATAAGTGAGCGTCGGCGAACGATCAAACATTCAGGCTCAAAGCGAACGTGCCAAGCAGACCTTCAAATTGATCATCTATCGACTGGCTTGCCAACACAACCGAATTGCCAACTTAGTTCAAACGAACCTCGCGAATTTGTCATTTGTCGAACGTGGCTCCAACAAACTCGGCGTCCAACAAAACGCGTTCCCAGCACGACAAAACTATCTAACAAGCGAGCCTCAAAGCAACGTTCCGAGCCGCGGCGCTTCCAACAAGTGATCCTCCTGCACCACCCCCCGCACTCCAACCCCAACTCCGGCGAGCGATCTTCCTGAACAGCGTCGTTTGACTCGACAACCCAGTCGGTCCCAACCAACGCGCCAACAAGTGATCCTCCTGCACCACCCCCCGCACTCCAACCCCAACTCCGGCGAGCGATCTTCCTGAACAGCGTCGTTTGACTCGACAACCCAGTCGGTCCCAACCAACGCTCCAACAAGTGAGCCTCCGACGATCCTCCAAACGGACCAACCAACCACCCGGCCACCCCCGCTTTAGGTGCCCGACGGCATGCAAGCTGCACACATGCGCACCACGTCACGTTGTCGCCGCTGCTGCTGCGGTTTCAGCAGCTTTCGCTTCTTCCATGGCACGTTTCGCTTCGGCGAAACCCCCCACCACCACCACCAAATCCGCCTCGTTCCCCTCGATCAGCCCTGTGGCTCAACAAACAGCAAATTCGAGCTGTGCGTGTGGTGTAAACCTGGTGTTTATGCCACCGGGATCTGTGCGAATCTTCAAGTTGATATCTTAGTCCCGGCTCTCTCTCTCTCTCTTCCTCTCCTCTCTTCCACGCACGCCGTCCGTCCACGTTTTGTTGTCCGCGGGGTGTTTCTGTTGTTTCCGTACAAACTCGTGGCTTCTTGTTCCTCCCACCTCCCCCCCCTTTGTTTTCTGTTGGCACTCTTTGTTGCGTTGGTCGTTTCGCCGTGCCGCCTTATTTATAGATCCGTGCGTGAGTCCGCGTCGCGTGCGGAGGATGCGGCTGCTGCTTCGCTGAGCGCGTGTGCGTCGCGTTACGAATTCGCTCCGGTTTTGTTACATCTCGGACGCCAGCGAGGCAGGCGCGCACTCCAACTTGCTCAGCCACACAGGGGGCTTGAGTGGGGAAGAGAGGGGCTTGGGTGATGGGAGGGTTGGAAGGAGGGAGGAGGGAGGGATGTATGGCGGGAGGGGGGTGTAAGATGAATAGAGGGAGGGAGAGAAGAGAGGAGGTGGAGCATTTGTGCGTAGTGTCTGGCACGAGAGGCAGGGCATGCGGGATGATACGTAGCACAGTAAACCCCCCACCCCACTCTGTTCCACCATCCCCCTCCTCCTCCCTCCCCTTCTTTACATCAATGCCTTCCTGGCTTGAACCCCTCTTCTCTCGTTCCCTCCCTCCCCTCTCTCTGTGTGTGTCGCAAACCCTCACTCTTTGCTGCCCTCTAGCAACGGCTGGCCTCTCGTAACCCAGACAATCACACAGGTGTGTTCGTCTCATGCTGCGCGCTTTGCTCTCTGTCGATTGTGGCTTGTTGTGACTTTGTTTTTTTTGTGATGGGGTTTTTCTTCTTAATAGGCAAAGGAATATTTGGACATTTCCATTGATGTTGTAGCTTTCGTCATTAAGTTCAACAAGGCATCAAACTGAAATTATGGAACTGTCCAAACAAATCTGACGCATGACTCTCCTGAAAAAATTAACGAATATATATTCATCCAGTGGTGGTGCGGATCCTTAGGGGACCCTAAGCAGATACTGTACAATTTCGGGGAGTGGGGAGGGTCCTTCCCCTTCAGATTTCTAACCTCGTCGTGAGATGACAGAAAAGATAGAGAGACAAAGAGACCGAGATGTCGTGGGACGAGAGAAATGTCGACAAGAGATCCAGACGGTCGTGAGTTGAGAATTGAAATACAAATGGCACAGATGTGATTAAATGATACAAGGTATAAACATGGAGTTAGATGAGAAAAACTAGATACTGACGATCTTAGATTTTTGCTTCGCCCAGATATTTATACAAATAAATAAATAACCGCAGGGCCTCTCGAGCTGTCTGGGGCACTAAACTGTTGCTTTGTTTGCTGATGCCGAGTGGCACCACCCATGTTCCTTATCCTTGAGTTTTGTTCAAGATTCGGATCTTTGCGACTCATTTAAAGGGCCTTTCCATTAACCAGCTATTGCGGACTTTGATCTTTTCACCGCAGCTGTAAATCCCTCACGTGCAGATGATTTCCCAAGCACCCCCCACCCCAACGGTGCAATTAGGAATAAAGTTCAGGGTTGCGGAACGCCACCATTTCCCACAGCTCTATCCGAGTGAAAGCCTCGACATTGCCCGAACATTTTCATAAAAGCGTTATCTTACAGTCGACGTGTGCGAGCGACGCTACAACTGCAGAAGAGGGATGGCAAGGTTTTAAGTGAACACGCTGCACGTGGCGTATGACCAGATCACACAGAATAGGTCGATCTCGTCACACATCTCCGAAGCTAAGCAGCTGTTATAGGCTGTCGGGGCTATGTCGTGGGTGGCAGATGGGAGGGCCGCAAAAGCCGTTGTTGTATTGTACTTCTGTGCTCCCGCATTTGCGCTCCCGACCTTCACCCAGCTGCACGTGATGATATATGATTTAAAAATCACCATGTAGTGAGGCCCTAATAGACAATGTACACGTAAATTGGCCGTCTCTATTGAAATTTAAACGGACTGAAAATAAATAAGCTCGTACTGTAGACAGCTGAACAAAGTGTGGCTTAATTCATGGCCATAATTAGCCAATATATACGAAGACCTTCCCATGTCATCGCAATCGCTCACGATCCATCTCACGCCTGCCTACAAAGTTGATCCCGTCGCTCCATCTCTCCACGGTGGTCAGACTCGATGGTGCGTTCCTCCCTTTGGCTTAATTGGCGTTATTTAGATCGGAGACAAAACAAAGACGACAATTTGCTCTGAAAACACGCGGTGTGCTAAATATTTATGGCATTTTCACACAATACCTGCACGGACACTTTAAAGGCGAGGCACTTACACAAGTCGTTGCGTTTGTTTGACAAGACACTGGTCCACGGGTTCAGATGAGAGGGAGGGAAAAAAAAACGACCAACAACGCATCTCTTTCTTCCATTCTCCCCTGCCACAAATCTCAAAATTGTTTGAAGTGTTGGGTGGGAGGGGGGCGCTCTGTTCAGTGTTCCTTTAGAGACATATAAAATAAAAAACCCCACAAGCTGAGTTTACAAGTTCTCTCGGAGGGCGGGACCTTGTGGGAAACAAAGCGTGAGGGCGAGAAGAGAGACTGATCCAACGTGATTGGCCATTTACTCTGAGCGTTGACATCATCTCCGGCCAATCGGATTGGTGGTGTGGTCCACCCGGCCAGCCAGGGTAGCATGAAGGGGGGCGACCCTGCTTCCCCAACTCCGCAGTGCGCGGCACCTAGGTTCAACCACGGCTCTGTGGATTTGCGTTATCCATGAGTGTCGGGCAGGGATATCCCGGAGTGTGTGGAGGCCCGGGGCAGATTGTCACAGTGGGGCGCCCCTTAATCCCTTAATCCACCATCCACAGGGCCACGGTTGGGCCCTCTTTTGTGTTGAGGCCCAGGGACAATAGGACGGCCCAGGTGTCAGGCACCCATTCACCAACACGGTTTCACCGGATCTTTAATAATAACAGATTACGTCCCTTTGTCAATCCACTGCTGGATATAGACCCCTCTCCCCCCCCCCCCCCGTGTACTATCAATCATCGATCGGGTTGTTTGAAAAATATTCTTGATTACCACACTGGCCACTGATTTGGTGATCGATTTTAGCCGTGGCTGCGAATCGAACTCTCGGGCCCCGGGTTCATGGTCCAGTGCGCCAAACGCTGTCTATACCACCGCTCTACACCCGTAAATTATATGAACAGCACTTTTTTCTCTAAAATGTTTTTTTGTCATTCCCCCCCTCCCTACCAGAGTTGCCCCGATTGCATTGTAGGAGATAACGTATCCATGCGGGTCTCTCGGTGAGCAATGCGACCCTTTGTGTTAAAGAATGGCCCACGGAAATAGATGCCAAAGAGCTACCTCTGAGATCCCTTCAAGCGACCAATGCTCGACACAGTAGCAGGCAGCACTTTCCCACTCGCTCTGCGTACGAAAGTAAGAATCGTCGTGTGATGGTCAAATTGATACTGAATTAATCGCTCAAGAGTTGAACATTTACCAAATTGAGTAAATTACATTTGATTATGCCTGTACCGTACTCAAAAGTATTATTTAATAAACTTACGGAAACATTTATGCGGCAGAATGTACACTTATTGATGCATAAACGAACTCTTTACTCTTGATTTAAAGCTTTCGTGACTGCAGGAATTCATACTCTGGGTCTTTCGGTAAAGTCACGTAGATAGAAAAAAATCGACGTTTCGATCGCTACACAGGCAATCATCTCTCACCTGAAGACGATTGCCTGTGTTGCGATCGAAACGCCGTGATCTATTATTGTTCTATCTACGTGACTTTACCGAAAGACCCAAAGAGTATGACTCTTTACTGTTGTATCTTTAAGTAACGATAGTGGCAAGGGCGTGCACAGAAGTGAGGCAAACTCAATAAAAACTTTTTCTGGAGAAAAAAAAACGCTTGCCACAGTGGGTAACTCCCATCACCCACAAAGGAGATTTTAGATGCAGTACAGAAGATACCATTCGAGAATGAGACCGCGTGTTCCCCTCCTTCCTTTGAAATCAGTCATCTGACTCCCAGGCTGCTGAGCCTAAATTATCAAAATGTTTGGTTTCCTGTAAGAGCCACTGCGATGTGTGTGTATTTGGTGGCCGGGTGATTCACAATCTGATGCCACGGTCAGAGCACTGAGCCAACGCCGCTGAGAGCCTGGGTTTGAATCTGGGCAAGCATCTGCTGTGATTAAACTATGTTCTATATGATGGTCTCAGCCCTGTCACTAATGACTGCACACACACAAAACACATCGTGTTTAATTGGGTGCTTTGTTTGTTAGTTTGGCAAGATTTCAGCTCTGAGCTTAAACGTTTGGGTTTGATTAACATGCAGCTAATGCCCTTTGCAGGAATATGTGTATGCTCCGAGTGTGGATAATAGAAGGCTGTTGCAGTGACTTCAGGTAGTTCTACGATATGATCTTCTGGAGCACTTCTCTGACACAAGGTGATGATGGTTTGCCATCTGGGAGGTGTCCCGAATAGAAATGTATTCATCTCACGACGTAACTGGCGTAGCACAATTGGAATTTAATTGAAGGAAAATAAGAAATAAAATGTTCCAAGGACATAGAAACACAGACGAACAAAGTCATGGGGACACGGAGACACGGAGGCACGGAGACACATGATGAATGGGACAGGGATACAGGGACACTGGAACACGGGGCTGTGTAAGTGTTGTACTAAACCATTTTTGCACGAAACCAGATCATTGTGTAGCCAGCGAGAAGAACACCTGGGAGAGGCCACACTGTTTATGACGACAGGTGTAGACTGTGACACATCTGGAGGGGTAGGAAGTGGAAGAGGAGGAAGATTGCCCTCTTAGCAGACTGGGTGGAGGCCTGATAGGACTAAACGCCTTGAGATGATGAGGCCGTGTGGTCTCGCCATGCACGCACATGCTAGGAGCAGTAGAATGAAAGCAGACGAGGATAACATCGTTCTGTCTCTACATATAAACACGCCTTTATATTTTACCAATAAATTTCGATTTAGAGCTTTCGTGACTGCAGGGATTAATCTTCTTGGTTCTTTCGGTAAAGTCACGTAGAAGGGAAGTAATAAAATAATAAAAATAAAACATAATAAAATAATTCTCACGACGTTTCGGCCACAACGCAAGCAGCCGTCCTCTTGCGTTGTGGCCGAAACGTCGTGAGAATAATTTTATTATGTTTTATTTTTATTATTTTATTATTTCCCTTCTACGTGACTTTAGCGAAAGAACCAAGAAGATTCTACCAATAGTAGCCGGCAACATTCAGCACGGTTGGCTACGTATGAAGCGAAACAAGTTCAACATACACACAAGTGTCGTGTGGAACTCACTCGGAGGCAAGGTAACACCCGCTCATTCTTTATTAATCTCCAGACACACCAG